ACCTCCTCCCCCCCAAGTTATGCTTGCCTGAAGCTAGAAGTCTCTATTCCACTCAAGGACCCCCCCACTCCCATTCAACTCAACGTTCTAAATTGCCCAAAAGATGATAAATTACATCTACTACTATTGCCCCTTCCCTTAGAGTGTTAATCCAAGTGGGTTGTCCTAGACAGGAAACCATACCTCAGCAAAGTTGATTCTCCTAAAGACATGTTCAGCAGACGGGAGACATAATTAGCTCCATAGAAGCTTTGTGCTCACACAGACTCCTCCGTCTATGCAGTTGCTCAAAACCCCTTGTGCGCTGAGTCTGCCCACCTTTCTGAGTCCTACCACAGCAAGCATAGCTTTTCCTTTGCCTCCTTTTTCCCATTTTCAGACACCAGCCCACGGGCTATTTAAACTGCCCCCCAGAGAACAAACACATGATTTCCAGGCCCTTCCTTCCCCATCTCCTCTCTGAGGACTCAGAAGCCCACCCAGGAATGCTGGCATCCATTAAACCCGGGCTTTTTCTAGTTTGGTTTGATTTGGTCTGATCTGGATCATTGTGTCAGCACAGTTGATTTATAGGGGTGTAAAAGCCTTTTGGTCACTACAGTGTGAGGACCTGAATTAAAGGGTCACGGCAGAGGAAGGGCGGAAGCTACTGCTCTTACCCACTTAGTTTCATTTCTACTGTGACAGAAAGAAACTTAGCACGAGAAACCTTATTTTAGGCTACACTTCTGGGTTCCCGTTTCTCAGGCTGGGAGTTAAGTTCTGTACTACAGATCTGGGGACACCCAGATCACTGTGGGTGACATTTCCCTAGGTATGGAGTCCTGAGCGACACACATAGAAGTGGAGAAACTGAGGTGACAACCAGCTAGCCAATAAGCGTGTGCGTGTTCCTTTCTCTCTGTCCCTGCTGCCCTGTTTCCCGGCTGTGATAGGCTATTAACTCTTAGGGGAAAGGGTGGCATTGTGTTTGGGTGATCATAGTTTTTGTTTCCATGCAGAATCAGAGGTACAGATCTTTGGGTCCCCAAATCCTGCAATGGTGTAGATGAAAGAAGAGAATTAGCTAAGTCTTTAGTCCAAGCACTCAGGAGGCAGGGACAGGCAGACCTCTGAGTTTGAGGCTTGCCTGGTCTACAGAGCAAGTTCCAGGAAGTTCCAGGATAGCCAGGGCAACACAGAGAAAGCTTGTCTCAAAAAACAAACAAACAAACAAAAAAATAGAGGGAGAGGTTAAATAAAAGTGGTTTTATAAAAATCTCCTAATCACTGAAGGAGACAACTTTCCATTAGTGAACTTAAACAAACCCCTCCCACCTCTACCCTCCTTCCTGTATTCGGAATTTCAAATTTTAGGGAGGGACAACTGTGTTGTTTCCCATTTTTTGAAAATCAGGGTATTGCCAAGGAAACGGGAGGTGTGGTCCAGGACTGATCATGAGAGTGGGACTATTCTCAGGGCCTTGTGGCAGGCTATCGGCGCGGGTGTGGGTTCACATGGGTCTGTTAAAAGAAAGCTCAGAGACACTTTGAGAATGAACTTAGCCTTAGTCCTCAATGGGTTGAAGCACCTTCCCTTCGTCCAGGGCATTTTAATTTTTTCCCCCATATTTACCGTTATGCCAAGCACAAAGTCTCGATAAAAAGGGATACCACAGTTTTCAGGGTTTCCCTTCCAACCAAGTTTTGCATAGGCTTTGCATCCTTGGGAAACTCTCAGACAAGATTCACATAGGGTGACAAAGGGATCTGTCAAAAGAAACTCCTGCTAACTCTGGAGCTAGGCCAGGTGTAGTCCAGCGGGACTTAGGGCTAATTTCTAACTCTTGGGCCCCAGGCCAGCAGGAATTCAGCTACCAGGACTTCTCCAGCTAAATATCTTTCTAATCTTTAAGTTGGGGAATGGGGAGGCGTGAGGGGTTGAGTCAAACAGAGGAACTGAGTTGAGTCTTCTTTCAGGCAAGAGATTCCTGAATGCCAGCAGGCAGCATAGCACCAGCTAGCGGCTTTGTTCTTGTCACACAAGTGGCCATCCTTAGGTCTCTGGTTTTGGCTGGGTGGGGTGGAGGGCGTTGCCTTCTGAGGAAGTACAATTAATTAACAGTGAACCTCTTATTTAACCGCTGCTGTGTGACTGAGGGAGGCACGTGACTTTGGCTACTTAACAGAGGTCACACATTCTCTGGACAGAGGAATACGCTGGGTTAATGTTTGACCTGTGGAGGGTGACTCAGTCAGGTGGCTCGCTGAGCTGGGTGGCAGGAAGAGGAGGGCTGGGTGTGCGTTCTCATGCAGCCCGCTCTGCTGAACACCTGGCTTCTGGCACACAAGCCCGATCACATCTGGTACCCCTAACTCCGGGTGGAACCCCAAAGGAAGATGACAGAAGCACACTGTTGTTCTCTCCCTGAAGAGTTAATCTAAGCAGGCCTGTCAATCATCTAGACAAAAGTCCACCACTAAGGAAAGCTGGCTACTCAACAGTGATACTGGGTGGAAACTGGAGAACTCTTTAGAACCCCTAGTTTAAGCTGGGCAGTGGTGGCACACGCCTTTGATCGCAGCCCTCGGGAGGCAGAGGCTGGTGGATCTCTGTGAGTTCGAGGCCAGCTTGGCTTCATCTACAAAGCAAACTACAGAACAGCCAAGATCTTATACAGGGAAGCCCTAACTCAAAAAACCAAAACTAAAAAAGAAAAGAAAAGAAAAGGAACCTCTAATTTAAGACTGAGAGAGAAACAGTGGGTGGTGCCGTAGCTATATGTCCTTTTTTTCCAAAGAGAAGGTGATGGCCCCATTGCCATCTCTGGAGCAGAGATCACCTTGCCCCAGTAGCCACAGCAGTGGGGTCGGAAGAGCAAAAACAGTGACAGGTCTGTGATAATGAGCTTCCAGATACCCCGAGCAGAAGGAGGGAGAACCCTCACCTGGGGTTCTGGTCATTACTCCCTCTTGCTCTCCTCCAGTTACAAGGGGTCTCCGAAGATATTAGAATACAGAGGACATGGAAGATTAATGAAAGAGGGACTCCATGACACTGGTGTCATGATGGTATGAGATGTCATGGAGAGGCAACCGCTTGGGGGTTGTTGTAATTGGCTGGCTTGGTATGTCTCCTGGGTAACCTGTCCCTTTAAGAGAAAAGCTCCACCCACTCCCAACCTCTCCCCACCCCCTTTCTCTCTGCCCTTCTTCTGGAGAGGCAGCTTCTGCCTCTATCTTTCCTCCCCTTCTCCTCTTCTCCCCTTCCCCTTCTGTTCTCCCTCCATAACCCACTAAATAAACTCTATACCCAAACTCTCTCTGCAAGGTGTATCTATTTGTCTGTCTCCTGCTGAGGCCTCGGGTGACCCACCGCCACCCCTCGTGGGACCGGTCCCCTACTATCTCTTTATAAACAATAACCGTTGTCTGTGTTTCTGTCCGTGACCTGACCTCACCCATGCTCCGTAACTAAACCCCAGAAACACACTGGCTCACCAGGATAAAATTGGGCAGGATGGTAACTAGGGTCTGTCATTGAAGCCCTATGTCTGCCCACATTTTCCCATGGAATATGTTAAACGAACAGGTGCTTGCCGGCTGCCGCTCTTGGCATCGCCTGTACTTGGTTACGCATGAGCCGATGCCTGGGGCAGCATGCCAAGGCGTCACATAGAAAGCTTTTCCTGCTTTCTTTCTTCCTCGCACCACTGTTCTGGGGGTGCGGAGGGGTGGAGTGGTGTTGGTGGTGAACTGATCTGTTTGCCTCATCGATTGCAGAGTGACAGGGAGGGGCTGTTTTCCTGGTGTTAGGGTGGAGAGCTGTGTGTTGACTAGACAACCTGGGCCCTGGAGTTAGGGGAACACAGGTGGCTCCAGCCAGAAACAATTGATGGCCTTCCTAGAAAGGAAGAGACTCCTGTTTCTGCCCTGCGGTTTCCATGGGGAGAATCTACCACAGTTCTCTGAGCCTCTGGCTTCCTTCCCTTTGGAGACTGGCCTGCTTCAGTGGATGGGTTCCACTTCATTGCTTCTGGGTTCGCCTTTGGGACTTGGTTGGCCTCTGAGCATACCTGTTCTTTTGCTGTTGTGTTGTCTTGGGATGATCTTCCAGCTCAGCTCTCTTTCTGGGCCCAGCCTTCCTGGTCTCATCTCTGTCACCTGCAGGCACTAAGTGTGGCCACTCACTGGGCCATGAAGTTAGGAAACTCAGTCTCTGGCTTGCTGCTCATGTCAGGCCTGAGCCCTAGCTGCTGTCAATACTTGACTCATTGTAGAAAAGTTTTAAATCTTGGAATGCCATGTCACGTGGCGGTGACTTCAAGGTCAAGGAAACTCAGGTCCTTTGTGGGACACCTTGAACCTGGACCTCATAGATGTAGGGCCTCGCAGCATGACAAACTGGATTGCCAGGGAAAGCGAACATGATTTTTTTTTTAAAAAAAAAAACAAAGGTTTCTGCAAGGCAGGGTCTCCCCACTCGGGGCAGTAGCAGAGACGCTAAGGTCATTCATCCTCTGCATAAAAATGTCTTGGGCCTGGCTCTAGCCACAAAATGCCAATGGCACCTGAAGTCCCAGATGTCACCTAAAGACATGAAACACTGCCCAATATCTCCTGCCCCAGTTATCAGTTCTTGGCTCAGGGCTCTCACACTGTGAGAACATGACCCCGCTGGCGGCTTCTTCACCAGACCCAAGCGCCCTGTGCTTGTCAGTTACTTACCTGCTTACAGTAAGGAAGACAGTGGGGCTCTGAGTCACGGTAACCCCGATATACCTTTCATTCAGAAACAGGAAAAGGCTGGGTAAGTTGCCTCCTTCCCACGCTTTCTCAATGAGAGACAACACTGACCACTTCCCTCTTGTTCATCCATCAGCTCTTCCTAGCCTTCCAGCACCAGCACGGTCCCTCCCTAATAGCTGTCCAAATCTGGCTCACCCAGGTCTCTGAGGAGCCTCGCTAATTCTTAGGCAATAAACATAGCCTGGAGGAAGTCCCTACCGGAAACCCTTCCTTTTTAGGACACCACTTGGGAGGAGCTGAGGGAGGGTATTTCATAAATACCTTGCTGATTTCTGCCCACATCTAGCTGGAACTTTGCACCTTGCCTGCAGCCTGGTCGCAGAGAGGATGTGAGGAAAGGAATTAGGATGGGGTTGCTGGGTGGTACACATAGGGAGAGGCCCCCAGGATACGACTGTGGGTGGAAGGTGGGGATTAGGAAAGAAAAGCTGAGTGGACAGGAGAGGCAGACGCCTACTCCTCAGGGAAGCCGTGTGGAGGGCTGCCAGTGGGGAAGATTGGGTGACTGAGCCATGTCCAGGACGATTGGGGGAGAGCCCCAGGGACATGATTGAGGGTTTTGCTATTAACTGGCTCCAACTCTCAAGGTCTTGTCTGTGTACCCCCTTCTCCTAGGACGAACAGTTCCCACACTATGAAGACCGGTGTGCTCATCCTGCTAGTGAGCCTACTGTGTGCAGAGAAAGGTGAGATGGAAAAGGGCCTCAGAGTTGAGGGTACACTGGCATTTTCATTGTGTGCCCAGTGCCTGAGGTGTACTGGAGTCATGGGGGTGCCCTGTGTGGGTTGGTTGGTGGTGGGTGAACTCTCATGTGCTTGGGGTAGCTTCCTGGGTCTCTAAACTGCCTTGCCGTTTCCCCCATGTGCTAGTAGGGTCTTGGACGTCACTGCTCCTTCTATGAGCAGCGGCCCCACACTCCTCAGGACCCATCTCCTCAGAATAACTTCACCCTCCATCTCTCTCTCATTTCTTTCTTGAGGCCCAAGCAAACCCTGGTCACCAAGGGCCCCTGTCCTCAGAGTACCCTGCTGCCCTTGCCTCCGAGCCAGCCTGTATGTACACAAGCTGGCAGAGGCTTCTTTTCCTGGCCCAACAGCCAAGTCAAGGAGTTTTTGACACCTTCAACTTTTGGCATTCCTTACATTATTACATTTGACTCTGTTGTATCCTCTAAGGCAGCCACATGAAGACTCCAGTGCTAGAACTTCGCTACGAGCCCTCAGAAACCTCCATACTTACAGTTACACCTCTATTAGGGGAGATCTCATGGTGAACCCTGACTTTGTAGCTGTCTTCTGGGAAGTTCAGTGCCCTGTTAAACAACAGGTCAGAACGAACAGTCTTCCCCATCCAGAGGCCCTTGTACTGCCCCGGTACCTACCCCCCTCACCCACTCACCATCTCAGCAGACAGGAGGTACCCAAATCCTCCTGCTATGAGAACTGTTTCTCTATTACCTCTTGGGGTCCAGTCTGTCCTGCGGCTGGCTGCCTGTGACAGCAATACCCAGCCTATCTGAAGAGCTGTGGCTCTTGGTTCACGCCTGTTTTTGGTGGAGGTGACTGAGGAGGGGTGTTCCTGCTCGGTCCTATATATAGCCCAGCAGCTGTGAGGAAGTAAAGCCAGGGCAGAGCAGGGGTCTGGTCTAGGAAGAGCATGCCCTGACCCTCATGTATTGGCCTGTTTCTCAGCTCAGGGATTGCACTGCTACGAGTGCTTAGGGATCTCATCTGAGTCCTCTTGTCAACCAACCACCTGCCCCTACACTAATGGTGTCTGCGTTACTCAGGAGGTGGAATTCACTATGGGTGAGTTCCCTGTGGCCTGTATGAAGCTGTGTAGTGGAGTGGCTTGGGAGGAAATTTTCAAGCACTTGTGGGCCATAGTTCTTTGTGGACCATAGTTCCCCTTCCTCCAAGTAGGGACCTTCTGGGGTTGGAGTGGGGCTCCTGTAGGGGCAGCAGGCTGTGGGTTGTGCCCTGGGGTCCAGGTATGTGCTGGGAGGTAGATTCTTGAGCAGGGCTGCCCCTATGGCATGTGTCAATTTCCAGGCATACCCTCCAGATAGACAAAGCAGGAATAGCCTCAACCTGCTATCCGGTTTCCTGCTCCTTTCTACAACCTGACTGTCTCCTGGAGTAGGTCTCCTAGATACAGCTTCCTAGGGAACAGTTCTTCCTGGCTGCCCTTTGTGCTAAGTCACCGTGTGGGTGATCTTGCACTGTGCCACGTCTTGTGTGTGTGTGTGTGTGTTTGCCTATGAGTGTGGGTGCACACGTGTGCACATATGGTGAGGCCAGAGGACATCCTTAAGTATCATTCCTCAGGTACTATCTTGTTTTAAGATTTATTTGTTTCATTTCATGCAAAGGAATGTTTAATGGATTCCCTGGAGCTGGCGTTACGGATGGTTGTGAACTATCATGTGGGACCTGGGATTTGCCCCCCAGGCTAGTGGGGCTGGTGAAAGCTCCCCTCTCCACCTCTCCAGCACAGAAATTAGATGCAGCACTCCCATGCTTGGCTTTTGCATGTGTGCTGGGGATGGAACGCGGGTCCTCATGCTTCCACGTGGCAAACACTTTACTGACTGAGCTGTTTTCCCAGTACATGGTGTGTAAGTGCATGTCTCATGTGTGGGTGCATGTGCACTATGTGGACAAGTGTGTGAAGCCCAGAGGTTGACACTGGGCATCTTCCTTGATGACTGTTTTATTTACTGAGGCGGGATCTCCCAGTGAACCTCAAGCTTGCAGATTCAGCTAGTCTAGCCAGTGAACTAACCTCAGGATTCCCCGTGTCTGCCTCAGGAGCACTGAGATTACAAGGAGGCCTGCCTGCCTTTTACATGGGTTCTGATGATTGAAATCCCAGCCCTCATGCTTGCTCTAGAACTCACCATGGAGCCCAGGATGGATTTGAACTCATAACAATCCTCCTGCTTTAGTTTTCCAAGTTCTGGGATTACAAGTGTGAGCCACCATGTCCAACTTCAATGTGCCTTAGAAGCAAGGCTGGGCCATCCAGACCTGGTGGCAAGTGCTCCAGACTTTGGGGTGCTGAGTTGTTCCTGCATACCCTGTGAGGTCACTCCCTGATGTCTTACAGGATCTCAGAAAGTGACAAGCAAGTACTGCCTTCCCACCTGCCCTGATAAGAATCTTCTTCCTGGATCTCTGGAATTCCTGGGTATCACCGTCAAGATTTCCTGCTGTAACACAGACCTCTGCAATGCAGCAGGTGCCACTGGGGGCAGCATCTGGACCCTGGCAGGGGTGCTTCTGTTCAGCCTGGGGTCGGTCCTCCTGCAGGCTTGGTTGTGATGGTCCTTCCTGCCATTCCCGTCCTCATCTTCCTATCCCCGTGTGTGATCACTCCTTCCTGGAGCCCTCTCATGATGAATTATGAGTTGGAAAAACCCTGAAGTGGGGTTAGGGTGTGGGCCACTCTGCTTCAACTTTATAGCCCCCATCACCACGACCCTCGGAATGCCATTCTGCTGTGGCTTGCTGTTCTCGGTTCTGGAGGCACGTGGACAGTACCAGGAAGGAGAAGGATTCCAAGGCATTGTGCCCATCTTTATAGCCCCCATCACCACGACCTTCGGAATGCCATTCTGCTGTGGCTTGCTGTTCTCGGTTCTGGAGGCACGTGGACAGTACTGGGAAGGGGAAGGATTCCAAGGCATTGTGCCCATGGTGCTTACGCATAAATCTCTGGGCTCCTGTGGGCTTCCCCTACATGCTGCTCAAAGTTGAGTTCAATAAACCGCTTGTTTTCCTAGCCAAGAACTTCACTTTTCTTTTGCTGCCCTGGGTCCACTGAGGCCTGACTGCTGACCCACATCTCTGCCCTTTCAGCCAGCCCCATAGCTATCTCATGTTACCCAGATCGGAGTGGCGTATCCCTTGGTTTGGGTGGGCCTTCCCTCAGAGCTGATACTGGGGACAGAGAGAGGGTTTCTCCATTTCCTAAGATTTCCTAAGATTTCTAAGATTCCTTGATTATGTTGGAGGAAGGGATCAGTCAAGGAGATGAGCCTTCAATGGTGGATAGGTCTTGCCCTGCCAGATTCTTTTTTTTTTAAATTTATTATGTATACAGTGCTCCAGATAATTGTGATCCACTATGTGGTTGCTGGGAATTGAACTCAGGACCTCTGGAAGAGCAGCCAGTGATCTTAACCTCTGAGCCATCTCTCCAGCCCCTCTCCATAGCTTTAGAGCCTGTCCTGGAACTCATCCTGTAGACCAGGCAGGCCTCGAACTCACAGAGATTCACCTACCTCTGCCTCCTTGAGTGCTGGGGTTAAAAGTGTGAGCCACCACCACCCAGTTCAGATTCTTTAAATCCAGAGCTGGATGCCATTTACTGCAGGGGCTCATGGCCTGACTCAGAGCAACAAATTTCTCACCCTGCCTCTCCTGGGGTCCCAGTCCATACTGGACGCTACCACTGGGAAGGGACAACCAGGGATCCATTATGGCTCTTTCCTTTTGTCCTCAAGTGGGCACCGCCCCAGAGATGATCAGAACCCATTTGGTCAATGTCATGGGGTCCTCATGGAATATGGGCAGCACCCTGGAAATTTGGGTGTTATGAACATTACTTCCTACCCTGGAAGGTCCTGAATATCTGAGATATTTGTCAAGGTGAAGATCTTCTAAGGTAGAGCTATTACCCAACCAGGGAAGCCCTTGTCTTTGCAACCTCCTGCCTTGGACAAGCATAGATCCAGAAATGTGGCCCGGATGTTGGCTGGGACCTGAAACTTGAATAAGGATTCTGGAATGGTCTTCCATATTGGGCCTTGCTTCTGCTGCAGTCTTCTGACCTCTGCCTCCAAAGTGTTAGGGTTATAGATGTGTAATACCAACCTGGCCATTGTGTGTGTTTTAGAAGTGTGAACTGTGCACTTAAAACAACAACAACAACAACAACAACAACCAAAATGTGATGCTTCTAGGGGGTTGTTTATTTGTGAGGGTTTGTGTGTGTGTGTGTGTGTGTGTGTGTGTGTGTGTGTGTGTGTGATGTTTTGCGACAGGAACTCACTAGTAGACCAGGTTGGCTTCGATCTCAAAGAGATCAGCCTGCCTCAGTTATTCAAATACTGGGATTAAAGATGTGAGCCAACCACTCTGCACGCCTTTAACCCCAGCACTTAGGAAGCAGAGGCAGGCGGAGCTCTGTGAGTTTGAAGCCAGCCTGGTCTACAGTGCAAGTTCCAGGACAGGCTCCAATGCTACATGGAGAAACTCTGTCTTGAACAATTAAATCAATAAATAATAAGGGCTGGAGAGATGGCTTAGAGGTTAAGAGCACTGGCTGTTCTTCCAGAAGTCCTGAGTTCAAATCCCAGCAACCACATGGTAGCTTTACAATCATCTATATGAGATATGGTGCCTTCTTTGGCAGGCAGGCAGGCAGGCAGGCAAGAACACTGTATACATAATAAATCTTTAAAAATAAATAAATAAATAAATGCTGTGATGCAGTTGAGTGGAAACAAGAGAATATGTCAGAGCTCTTCAAGAAATAGAGTCATCTATCATCTGTGAAGTCCCTCTTTAGTACAAACACACACACACACACCAATTCTCTGGTGTGCATGCTTATGGATTCAAATGTTTGTCTGCTTGTATGTATGTACACCACGAGCATGCATGGGGTTTCTGAGGAGGTCAGAAGAGGCCATTGGATCACCTGAAACTAGAGTGAGAGAGTTATCTGTGAGCTGCCATTGGGGTGCTGGGACCTGAACCCAGGTCCTCTGCAAGGGCACCCAGTGCTTTTAACTGCAGACCTCTTGCTTCCCAGTTGTGAGAGGCTTCAACCTGACTCCTGGGTTGGGACTCCTTTCCTTCCCCAAGTCCCCATAGTTGTCCCTATCCTCTTATTTTGCCTCTCTGGGAAGAAGTTATTGTTGTCATGTCCCACGTGATGACTTCTGGTCCAGAGGCAGCTTTGGCAGCAGAGATTGCTGTCCTCATTTGGGGTGGGTTCAGATCCTTGAAATAATGATGGTGATGGACCAGTACAGGTGTTCCTCAGATCCAAGGAGTCTAGGTTCAAGGACTATGATAGCTGGTCTTGGTTGTCAACTTGACTACGTCTGAAATCAACTAAAACCCATGGAGCTGGAAATACGTGGGAGGATTTCTTGATGGACTGAAAACTGCCAGATTCTTGGCCTTTCCCTTGGGAGACAGCCAAATCACAGGCTACAGGATACTCTAATAAACTGCATACCTATGTTCACCCCATCAGCTCTGTTCCTCTAGAGAACCTTGGCAAATACATTGTATCTCCAAGCAGGGCCAGACAAAGTTAAGTTGTGAGGTATTCACCAGAGAAGACTGCTAGGACACGGGTTTGAGCCAATCAAAAGTCTTTATTAACCAGCCAGCAACCACACTGAGTGTTCAGGATCCCAGTGTAGTACTGAGTCTTCCTCAGGATAAGCTTTTAAGATGTTCTGGGTTGACACACTTCAGTTAATAAGAACAGTTAGCCAGAAGTGGACCTACAGAAGCAAAAAAACCAAGCTTAGGGACTTTCCCAGAAATATGGACTTTGACAAGTTAGGCCTTTGTTTTAGTTTTGGCAGGTGGGACTGTCTATACCTCTTTTCAGCCTGAATGGTACGGTCATCCTGGAATCAGTGTAAGGGTGCTTAGGTCTGGGGCCCTGTTACAGTTTCCCTGAGCAAGCCTTGCTGTAGTCTGTCTCAGGGCTTCCCAACACCACTGTAAGGAAATCCACTCTCCAGTGAGTAACTCAGACTCTCAGAAGGGCGGCACCCTAATAAACTTCATCTGCCAGTCCTGAGAGGAGATGGTCCTCACTCCTTAGCAAGATCAGATGTGAGCCCCACACCTGTCTATCCCTAGAAGGCCAATACAGCCAGGGCACGGTGACTGCTTGAGAAGAACTCTGCACCCTGCAAAAGCAGCCCCTTGTAATACCTCTGCACAGCGTTTCCTCACCATTCAGCCTATGGCGCCTGTGCCAGGGTCTCTAATACACCCCTTTACTTCTTCCTTTTTGCCTTGGTGAATTCGTTCATGAACCACATGTCACCAGCCTGTCAATACTTTTCCTGTCATAGCAGGGACAAACATAGATCTCTGTTCCCTCCTG